AGGCCTGACTTGTGCTTCAGTGTTGGAATGTGTGCCCGGTACCAAGCAAATCCTAAGGAATCGCATTTAAAGGCGGTAAAGCATATTATTAAGTATGTGCATGGTACATCTGACTTAGGTATTTTGTACTCGCGTGACACATCTTCTAGTCTTGCAGGTTATAGTGATGCGGATTGGGCTGGAAACGTCGATGATCAGCGTAGTACCTCTGGTGGTTGTTTCTATATAGGGAACAATCTTATCTCCTGGCTTAGTAAGAAGCAAAATTGTGTGGCACTCTCGATCGCTGAAGCCGAATATATCTCCGCTGGAAGTTGTTGCTCCCAGCTCATGTGGATGAAGCAAATGATGATTGAGTTTGGTCTTGAGGTAAGAACTGTGAACCTTTTTTGTGACAATACCAGTGCAATTAATATCTCTAAAAATCCGGTTCAGCATTCTCGAACTAAACACATAGATATCCGGTATCACTTTATTAGAGATTTGGTTGAGAATGATGTGATTGTTCTTGAGCATGTTCCTACTCAAAACCAGCTGGCTGACATATTCACTAAAGCACTGGATTCTCAAAGGTTCACTTCTCTAAGGAAATCCTTAGGGATCTGTTCATACTGAGTGCTTGCGTGTATTTGCATTATATTATATTGTATTGTATACTAGTATCTATTATATTTGCATTGTGTGTAAGCATATAGGGTATATGGCATTAGGCATGTTCTTGCATTATGCATTCTCTTCATCACTAAATTCTTAATTGACGTTCTGATCCTTCTGAAAACCTGAGTGATGTTAGCAGTTCCAGGCTGACTGCGAGTTCTTACTAGATTGAGGAACATATTTATTTTCTGTATTTTTATTTCCTTTTGTCAAAAAGAGCTGCCTTCTCATAAATGATCTAGAGCGATAGCTAGCACATGGCTAGTTTCCCAAAGCGGGATCGACTGTGACAAGAGCGTCTTGGACAGAAAATGTTGAGAAGGGCGTAAGCTAGTGACACACACTGCATATTTCTATGTGGTGTTCTTATGCGAAGTTATAAGGTGGTCACCCTCATAAAAACCGTAGTGCGTGTTGTTTTTTTTTAAAAAAAAAAAAAAAAAAAAAAAAAAAAAAAAAAAAAAAAAAAAAAAAAAAAAAAAAAAAAAAAAAAAAAAAAAAAAAAAAAAAAAAAAAAAAAAAAAAAAAAAAAAAAAAAAAAAAAAAAAAAAAAAAAAAAAAAAAAAAAAAAAAAAAAAAAAAAAAAAAAAAAAAAAAAAAAAAAAAAAAAAAAAAAAAAAAAAAAAAAAAAAAAAAAAAAAAAAAAAAAAAAAAAAAAAAAAAAAAAAAAAAAAAAAAAAAAAAAAAAAAAAAAAAAAAAAAAAAAAAAAAAAAAAAAAAAAAAAAAAAAAAAAAAAAAAAAAAAAAAAAAAAAAAAAAAAAAAAAAAAAAAAAAAAAAAAAAAAAAAAAAAAAAACTTTGGGATCCTTGCTGAAAATTGTAGTGCAAAGTAGTGGGGTCGACTTTCACTATTGCAGTGGTTGTTACTAAGTGAAATGCACTATGAATAATAAAGCATGCGTTCTTTCGAAAAAAAATATTGGAAGTTGTGGTTCGCACTACTCTGTGTGATACATATATCCGTTTAACGTATGTTCCTCAGAAAGTTTGAATCTTGTAGTTGGTCTTTGATTGTTGCCGTCAATCTTGTCTAAGTTGGGGAGGAAAAGATCTTATGATTTTATTGCATTTTGTGTGCGATTTTTATTCCTTTTCATAATTAGGCATGTTTGCATATGATTTCCTTTTTGAACATGATCCGAGAATATATGGAGGACATTATCAAGGATGAAATCTGATTTCTTTCCAAAATTTCAAAATAATGGGGTCCGTTATTTGTGTGAATGGTTTTGGTTTGTTTTATTTTGGATTATTGGAGGGATTAATTACACTAATTATTTTTGAATTTTCCCTCTCTCTCTCTCTCTCTCTCTCTTAAAACCGCCCCCATTACCACCTTGATTTTCGGAACCTACCTTTTGCGGTTTTCTAAGATCCAACGTCTCTCAACCGATCTTGACACACGTTCTCTCTTATTTTATTCCAGTTTATTAGTTCCTTCTTTTCTCTCTCTCTCCTTTGTTCATTCTCACCGATTGAAACCCTAAAATTCCCTCTCTATATCCTCATCCTTCTCCCATGGCTGGCGGCAAAGACAAAGCCAAGCGACGACTCCAGAAGCAGAAAGAAAAACGACTTAAGCGCCGCCGACTTTCCTTGTCCACTGGATCTGCACGTGAACCTTCGCCACCAGCAAAAGAACCGACCCCTGAATCTTCGCCTTCGTCAAAATCGGGTTCTCACGCCTCTTCTTCGTCTGGCTCTCAGTCGAAATCTGACAATGTCCGCAAGAATCTTGAAATTTCACCACTTGCAACTGGAGTTCCTGGACTTTCTGGGCCTGCTGAACCACTTGCCGTCCCAACTCAGGGGGAGTCATCTGCTGTTCCAACTTCTGCAACTAAGTCGGTCACCAAGACGACTACTACTGAAGGCGAAAAAGATGATACGGCGGCTACCACCGTTGAAGTTCATTCTGACCAGCCATCACCACCTTCGAAGGTTCCAGTTCGTCGTTCCTCCCGTCGTCGTGGGAAAGCCATCGACGAGCCCCTTGTCCCTCCTGAACCTGAAGATGATGCGTATGACCTTGAGAATACCTTCACCAATCGGTTCTATACAGAAGCGGCTCACGAACGCTTTGTTAATTTTGGGTCTTATGAGTTCTGGTCGGAACATCCTGTGACTGATGGTAAGTTTGCTGAACTCGGTGTTCTTCGTCTGATTGAGCAAGTGGGTCTTTCGAAGACCGTGTCTGATGTTAAGCCCTTTTGTGGCCAAGCTGTCAAAGAATTCTATGCTAACCTCACTCCTGCTGTTTTTGACTCTGATAGCCCTCGTTTTCATAAACTTTTTCTCCGCAACCGTGTGATTGATGTGTCTCCTGCTTTGTTTAATGCCCATCTTGGTTTGCCCTCTGATCTTGATAGCTCTTCTCTTATTGATGTTGATTCGGATGAAATGACCAAAGTTCTCACTTCTGGTCAGTTAGATACTTGGCCTAGTTCAAACCTTTCTGTGAATTCTCTTTGCTTAATTGCCAATTTGTTGCATAAAATTGGTGCTGGCAACTGGACCCCCACTTCAAATAAAACCCTGCTGACCGAGCTGCAATGCAAAGTCATTTATTGGGTCATGATTGGGAAAGTTTTCAGCTTTGGGGACCTTGTTTTTCATATCCTTCAATCCTTTGTTGCTAACAATGAGTCTCGCAAAACCCTTCCCTTTCCTTGTCTCATTTGGTCCTTCTTGTCTGCTCATAATTTCTCTGTTAACCTTCGCTTCCAAGACTCTCTTGAGAATCCCAGGAAAGCACTCTCTGTTAGTGCTCGTACTCTGAATGAAAAAGGGATTTCCAAGGTCTCGAAGGAACTCGCTCCTTCCTTGGTCCCAAAAAATTGGGGTGAGTTTGTGGCCCAGCAACTTGGAGAATGGAATGATTTGGCCAAGAAGGTTGCTGCTCAACAGGCGTATCTTCGCCAAGTGCTGCAGGCCGTCAAGGGATCAACTCGGAACTCGGGGACAGGCCCTTCGGCATCCCGTAGTTCGAAAAAGGGGGAGAAGGTTTCTGCTGCTAGTAAGAGCATTGAGAAAGAGGATGAAGAGTCTGATGATGCCACTGAAAAGCTTGGAGATGAGGAGTAGTTAGCTTGGAGTAGTGTTTTTTGTTGCTTTGTGCGTTTTGAGGGTTGTAGGGAAACTTTTCATGTGGTTGGTTATTTGCTGTTACTAAGTTTGTTTTATGGGATTAATGGAGTTGTTTTGCTGTCCTTACTGTCTATGGTTGAAATGAATTTAGAAGCATTCTGTTGAATTTTGATGATTGCAGGAACTAAGGGGGAGAACTTGTGATGTATTGATGATCTAATCTTTACTTGCTTTTATCTGTTGGTGCTTGTTGTTTTTATTGCTGTAGGAGACTTTCAAGTCTGTTGTTTTCGAACTAGATGCCAAAGGGGGAGATTGAAAGATATTTTATTTTGGCATTAGTTCGTTAGTTCGAACAAGCACCTGGAACCACAGAATAAAAGGGAAGATCTTTGTATATTATGTTTCCTTAAGTAATATTATTTTATATTCCTTATATAAGTCCGTGTAGATCTTATTATGATTTTGAAAATGACAGGGAATCGTTCGTGAGGAGAGAAGGAAGAGGAAGAAAAGAGACATGCTTGAGGAGGAGATCAAAGAGAGAGAAAAGAAGATTCACTTACCAAAGATATGGTATCTTTGGAAGTAAATCTTGTTTGAAGTCCTATGTCTTGGAGAAGACTCCAACCCTAAAAGGAGTTCATATAAATACCCTAGAAGAAGCTTATGGCGGCCGTGGATTTTCATAGAGAAATATTCGAGAGCCATTCAAGCTTCATTTGCTTTTGGTTCTATTTTGATAGTATTCAGTTCAGTCTGAGAGTTCTTACAAACTCAAGGACTAGTACTGCTTTCGTTTAGTTCTTTATACATTTCATCAAAACTATTTTACGGTTTGTACACTTAGGGAATAAGTGTAGGTTTATAAGTCCACGGGACGTGGCCGGAGAATTAGTTGATAGGATCAAGTAGTGTTGGCTAGATTTGAAGGGAGTTCGAATCTTTTTAAGTCCAAACTATGTATACGAGTGATCTATCAATGAAAGAGCTCTGAGGGGAAGTGGGACGCTTCCCTGAAGAGTTTATTAATCTTCGGTTATTTGCTTCCGCATTTTATAATTCTTATTGTAGTTCGTACTAATACTCGCGCACTCCGTGACAAATATAAGTTTCAATATATATACTCATGACATAAAAATTGTAATAGAAAATAGTAAAGGACCATTTTTGCAACATTTGAGACCAAATTCGCAACAAGGTCAATCTTATGGTACTAAATTTGGAATTTCCTCATTTCTAACCTAACGACTAATGGCGCACAGAACTATCCCGTTCTTTTGACGGGATTGAAACCAAATTTGCAACAAAACTTCAATAAAGACCGATTTTACAATGTATGAAACCAATTTACAAGAAAAATGTTACAGGTGTACATAACACTACGTAGCATTATCCATTTTACAATAGGCGAAATTCTACACGACAATTTGCAATTCTCTCAATTGACCATTTACATGGTTGCCCCTCTAAGCATTACGAATTCCCTTTCGGCCCCAAACATTAGGGTTTTTCTGCCTCCTCTCCCCATTCGACCGTCTCTCTTTCCAGAAATCTCTGCCGAGCAATCTAGGTTCCCAATTAGTTGCAGAGATTTCAATTCCTGCTTTGAAAGGTAGAAACATGACGACAGTTGTCCCCACGTCCGAGGAAGATCCCGCGCTCTCAGTCGTCCGGTTCACCGCTGACTTGTCCTGGGCCGATGCCGGTCTTGAGGTAATACTTCTATTTTTGTATGTTCAATGGCTTCTGAAAGAATACAGTGATCTATTGAGAAGTTCTGGTAAGACACTGCCTATTGTATTTCACTTTGGGATAGTCGAGTCAAAATATCAGTCTCGATAGTGTATGGATGGCTAATGCTGTAGTATGGACTTTTTTTTACCTATTATGCGTGTTTTGGAACTGATAGGTCGCAGAGGGACAGGTGAATAGATTGTGCGTTGAGGCACAAGAATGTATGATGCAAAACAGGTGGTTGGATTTGGCTTCCTTGATGCTTACTTCTGCTGATGTAATTTTTTCTAAAGCCTCTGAGAAAGGTGAGAGTTTCTCTTTCAATTTTGTAGAAATTAATTTATTCCCCTTTTGCATGAGTTCGGAGTGTAAATTGCGTCTCCAATTGTATTGAAGCCGATGGAAACATTTGGGGAACTTCATGGCATTCTGTACCTAAGATCTGTGTTATACTTTTTTCTTTAATATATTTTTCTCTATTTTAAGTTACCGAGTATTACCATTAACTGTTGTAAGCAGGACTTGTTTCACCTCTGATTCATTCATGCCAAGTATCTCTTGAGTGTGTCTGTCATTCATATTTATATTCTATTCATGTTTGACCCCTTTTGCGGATAGTAGCTGATTCTTTTTCAATTTTTTTTCTTTTTTTTTTTTTATTTTGTGGNTGTGGTTATGTAATTGGTCTTTTGTTTATTTATGTTTTACCTCAGATCTTGAATGTGCTTACACTGTGATCTGCAACCTTGTTAAGAAGCCTGAGAGCCTCGATCAAGTGCATGAGATGGCAGAGCTTATAGCCATAAAAGTTACCCAACAGCCTAATGACAAACCTGCACTGCGCTTAAAGATGTGAAACACCTATACATTTGGGCTTTTGAATCTTTGAGGCTACTGGAGTTTATATTATCTGTCTAACATTTATTTCTTTTTTCTCTCTAGCTTGTTTAACCTCTACAACCTATTGGACAACCCATACAGCCAGTTTTTTGTTTATATGAAGGCCCTCAACTTGGCAATCAGTGGAAAGGTCACCGAACATGTCTTACCATCGTTTAGAAAGATGGAAAACTTTTTGAAGGAGTGGAATCTTGGAGTTAAGGATAGGAGGGATCTCTTTCTTGCTGTTTCAAATATATTGAAGGATAGCAAGGGGTAAGAACTATGCATTTTTTTTTCCTGTACTTTTGTGTGTACAAATTTACAGATAGAATTTGTAGCATGTGTGATGACATGAGTGATAGAAAACCAACTTCGTGAGTTACAATTCCTTTTTATCTTGCTATTTCAGCTCTGCAAAAGACTCCTTTGATTTTCTTGTCAAGTATCTTGAGACTTTTTCGGGTGATGATGTGTTGGCTGTGGATGAAGCTAAGGAAGAAGCTGTCCGAGCTGTTATTGAATTTGTGAAGGCACCTGACATGTTTCAGGTAATACTGCAACTTGTTTTTAGTTGCTTTTATGTGTACATCTGTTGTAGCTCCATTTTCAAAAGCGACTCATTTTCCATTTGAAACTTAAGAAGGTCATAATCAAGAGATTCTTCATTTTCCATGTGTAGCAGGGTGACTTACTAGATATGCCTGCTGTAGCACAATTGGAGAAAGATGCAAAATATGCTCCGATATATCAGCTTTTGAAAATCTTCCTTACTAAGAGGCTGGAAGCCTATTTGGATTTCTATTCATCAAATTCTAGCATATTGGGCAGCTATGGTAGATTTGATTTTTGTCTTGCTTCTCAACTATGATTTGAGCTGCCTGCAGCCATTATTGTAAATGGTCCTTTTTTGTTTCTTTTTCCACATGGGACAATGCAGGTCTTGTGCATGAAGATTTGGTTTCCAAAATGAAATTGATATCCCTGGTGGACCTTGGAAAAAATGAATCTGGTCAAATTTCTTACTCCTTAATTAAGGAAACTCTCCAGGTATATTTATTTATTTGCTAACTCCAGCGTTTCAGCTTTACGTAGTGATTAGTCTCAAAGCACTTGGGTTTTCCTAGATTGAAGATGATGAAGTAGAGCCATGGATTATCAAGGCAATATCAGCTAAGTTAATAGACTGCAGAATTGATCAAATCAACCATGCAGTGATTGTGAGGTATGGCATAGTATCACTCTGATATCTAGTTTGAATATTGTAGTGAATCATTTATGATTGATGTACTTCTTTGTGCAGCCGCTGCACAGAGCGTGTTTTTGGGCTTCATGAATGGCAGTTCCTTCGCTCAAAGCTTGCAGCATGGAGGGTATTTAATCTTAAAACCATAATTCTAATATATTATTATTTATAAACAGATTAGCATTGTTGTTTAATGTCCCTGCAGAAAGACTCATGGGTTGGAACAGTAGGGTATAACTGGGTTTTCAACTCCTTGTAGTGGTAATTGCGAAAGATAATTTTGAGGTTGAGAATTAGCCAACTCTGTATCCTTGAAAACTACTAATGCCCTCTTGTTATTTGTTTCTTTCTGATAGAGGCTTTACTTGTTGTAATTCTGAAAGATAATTTGGTATTGTTGTAATTAGGTCCATTTTCAACGATATTTACTGGAACTATCTGATTATTAAAAACTTATAGTTGTTGCTTCTAGAGTGGCTACCTTTGTATTCACAGTTTATTTTTATTTTTATTTTTATTTTTCACCTTGGGTCGCTACGGAAACAGCCTCCTTGTATAATTACAAGGGTAAGGTCTGCGTACAACTGACCCTGTTGGGAATATACTGGGTATGTTGTTGTTGTTGTTGTATTTTTTAATGAAGTGCCCAACTATAAATTTGAATTTCTTGCAGGGCAACATTGCAAATGTAATTAGTACCATTCAAGCGAACAAGATAACTGAAGACAGCACCCAAGCAGTGCAGGGGTTGACCATACGTTGAGGCTACTCTTTGTTGCGACCATTTTCAATTTTAAATCTTGCCAGCACCCGCAAGTTGAAATTTCACTGCTACCTACAAGTTCTAGCTATTAGTGAAATCTGTGACAACAAAGGTGCTTGTGTTCAGAGTTAGATTGCGATTGCTGATTTTGTTAGCCAAACCCGAACATAATTTTCTGGCCAGATTTTGTTTATTGAGCACCATGAGCAGTTTTGACCTTTCCTTTTTGTTGCTTGAATGTATTATGTACTTTAAGATGGGAAATCTTGGTTTGCATTTAATTTCCAGTTTTCATTTGAAAATGGAGTTGGGTGGTTTCATTGTAGAGTCAGAATTCGAAACAAGAATATTGTGATCAGAGGATGTCAAAGAAATATTATTAACCCTCCACTCAGGGGAAACTATGAACCTATCAACACCACCCAAATTCCTCATAAACTCTCTGAACCTCTTAAATTATCAAGAATATCATTAAGTCTCCACCCAAAACCCAAGAACTACTCCATCTCTCACTCAACCGGATCAGAGATTTCCATTGGTATTGTTTAATACCAAAATTCGGGTCAACATACACAAAAATACCACAAAATTAACCTCAAACCCAAATATTGAAAATTACATCGTAATTTCTATGTGGAAATCATTTTACATATATTGAAATAAAATGGCCCGTATATGCCGTTTCGAAAATAAATAAATGAATAAATGAAATGGTCTGTGTTGTACCGTACACCCTAATTTCAACTGAATGGCCAATTAGGAGTTGGGCCTTTGCCTTAAAGAAAATAAATATCAAATAGTTGTATTTTGCCAACCAAACCTCGTTCAACAGACTACAGGCGGCGTTGGATAGGTCGTGGAGATGAGCAGCGGCAGCCACCGTAAAGGTCCGCCGAAGCATCAGAACAAATTCGCCTGGAAACCTCACGCCGGCCAGAAGATCAATCCTACTGTAATTTTCTCTTAAAATAATATTTCTACTCAAACCGCATCGTATTTCTGTATAATTAATTATTCTTATACATATAAATCGCAGGAAGTCGGGGGAAGTTTCAGGCCCCTTTCAGAAGTAACAGGGGTTTGCCCTCGCTGCAAAGGACAGATCGAATGGAAGCGAAAATACGGAAAATATAAGCCCCTTACTGAACCGGCCAAATGGTATAGTTACTCCTCTTTTCTCCAGTAATTTTATCGTATTTACTGTGTTCATTGTATTGATGTTCTGTAAATTCATTTTTACAGTCAGCGGTGTTCCAAGAGGAATGTTCGACAAGCTTATCACAATCTCTGCACTGGTTGGCTTAACAATTTATTAATCACAAATGTTGTTGTTAGGCTTACTGAATACTTTCTAACATTAAACTATACTACAGAATTTTATATTTTTGTTTGTATTGTGTTTTAAAATATGGCATTTGAGTATGAAAATATTTATATTTGTTAGAAGAGTATGATTTCTTAATCAATTTATTTTATTTGGTTTTATGATTTGAGGAAGTTTAATAGTTAGAAACATGTGGAGTTTTTAATTGAATTGTGAAGAATAACTCTTTTAGGTTGTGCCAAGGAGCATAATGTTTGTGCAAAGTGTTCATGCCGAGTTGACCAGATAGTTGGGAGGTATGTTTTTCCCTTTTTGCTACTAATCTAAGATGGATCACAAAACTAATTTGAATATATTACTATAGATGGTTATTAAATTTTGATTCTTGCTTTGAAGTGATTTTTTTATGTGAATGAGTTCTGTTTATGTATGTGTATTGTTCTTTCTATTATTGCAGAGATCTTTCGGAAGTGGAAGCTGAGCAGAAGACATTGGATGAGGTTTTCATTTTATTGTTGCCACAACTTCTTTGTAGTTTTTAATATTGAGACATGCCAATCTAAGATTTTGTTGTTATTGAGGTTTTTAAGTTCATCATACTTCGTTTGGTTTATTGAGTTCGCGCCTTAATAATTGAAATTCTGGCTAATTTAGGCAATCAAGAATGCTCGGGAGAGGGAAAGAAGAAGTATGCTGAGAGCTGTAAGTTTGTTATTGAACATTTGGATAAATTTTGGGAAGTACCCTTGACTGTCGTCTCATAATTGAGACTTTATTTTGCCCAACTATACCCACTTCATAATCAATAAAGATTTAAAACTCTCCTCACTCCACACAAAATTTGATTGTAAAATTTGTGTGTCAACAGATCAACAAAGGAAAATGATTTAAAACTCTCCTCACTCCACACAAAATTTGATTATAAAATTTGTGTGTCAACAGATCAACAAAGGAAAATCTCAGTCGTCGGTCTTGGCTCAAAAAAAGGACGAGAGAAAAGTTGGTGACCTATTTCCAGCATCATCACTCGAAGAGTATGTGGAATTGAGCAGGGATGATGAGGACGATCTCAGTCACGATGATTACCCGCAGGTAATAGGCTAGTGCTCTTCTAAGGGAAGCTTTATATTATACTGAAGCTTTCAGGGACACTACTTTTGTTGTTTGTAGTGATGCTGAGATTTTCGAACTTGTATAACTGCCATGCTTTTCTTAGCTCGTTTTTTGGCAAGGGTTATTTATGCCTGGGCATTATTCCATCGACTTTTGAGCATTATTGATTTGTCTCCTCGGTTTGTTCGACACTTTTCTTCTGCTAATTGATTGTTAGTAAAGAAGTAGTCGGGCCAATGATCTTCAAAGCAACTTCCATATTTCAATCGGTGGCATTACTATCTTTCTGTCTATGTTCTTGATATGTTGAAGATGATAGATAATAAGGGAGGAGTGTGATAAATAATTTTGTTATCATACCTTGCTGAAGATGATAGATAACAAGGGAGGAGTGTGATAAATAATTTTGTTATCATACCTTGGAACTCATTTAATGGTCATGATTGACTATTAGTTGATAGCGGGTTGCAATAGCTTATTTGATCAGCTAGTTTTATTAGAGGTTTATAAATAACTGTTTGGTGAGTACCAGTTTGTATAACTATTTTGAAATTTTATGTTGACATGTTAATATACAAATCCTCTATTTTAAAAGCTCTTGTATTGGTTTTTTTTTTTTAGAATTGGTGTTTCGGGTTAAAAAAGCTAATCAATTAAGCTATTTTTATCAAACAAGCTAGTTAGCTACTTTGACTGAGTTAAACCTCTAAATGGTGTTCAACAGTTAATGTTAAAATAGATAATCTTGGGGGTTGTTTGGTTCGACGAAAAATGAGGGGAGGGGACGGATTTTTTTTAAAAAAAGCCCTTGTTTGGTTAGATATTTGGGAGGGGAGTAAAACTTTAACACAAAATCCATCTCCTCCCCCATTTTTCTTCCCCTCCAAAAGTGGGAGAATTTGGAAGGGAGGGGGAAGACTTATTGATACATACTTACTATTTAGTAATCCTCATTATACCATGGATATGCCGCGTTGAAACCTTATTAGGTAAAACCTAGTGTGACAAAATCCTAATTAAGGAAAAATAATACACTATTCATGTGAATACGCCATCCTTGTTGCCTCATTTAAAGCCTTGCTGGCAAAACCAATGGGATAACCTCAGTTAAGGGAAAAAGAGTACAACGCGTATTCCATATAATAATATTTTCATAATTTGTACGATACAAATACCAACGGTTCCAGCGTATTATTCCACCATATTATTCATATATTTTACCACCATCAGTATTATTCATTTTATTTGCACACTTTTACTGTGATAAATGTATCATTTACAAATTTCAATCATTGTATCTCCCTCTCATCTTAACAGATTCCTGATCTGTATTTCTAGTATTGAAATTTCTTGAAGGGAGTTCATATATTCTCCGTTTTATTCTCGATTTTAATATATAATAGGAGAACTTTAAACTCATATCACTTGTGATATATACATTTTTCTTTCAAGTATTCATCATATCAGTTGAGTATATTACTAGCTTTATCGCTTTCATATGACACTTATTTTTCATTATTTCATAATCATCTCATAACTTTAGGTTACGTGTCATATGCATATTCATTGATCAAAACATCTCGTTACTTCAGGTTACGAATCACATACTCATGTGGCTATCTAGTGGATTCATAATATCTAGTAACACACATGGAGGGGTTGTGGACCCATATATATCATACTCCTTTGATACTCAGATTGATCAAATATTGATTCACAAATATTTAGCTAGTAATAATTTTGTACCAATCGAGAACAAAACATATCATATCACAAAGAATAAGTTAATCATGCAAACCATCATAATTTTTTGGCGGCAATAAATGCATTTTAAGTGCAGATTTTGACACACAATATTTTATTCAATATTTAAATTCAGAATGGTATCATATTAGTATCATACCTCAGGGTATATAACCAATCGATGGCCCAATACTTCGGAGATCAATTATACATTTTATGTATTTATCCACCAATATATCAAGTCCAAAGACAACTCAACATACATGAAAACATAAATATTTTCAACGTTTATCACGATATCTTCTTTAAGAATATAAATAATAAATCTTTGCTAGCAAATTCATTGCAAAAGTAGTATCAGGCCTGAAGCAGTTTGCGAGATAAAATTTTATAACAATTGTGCTTAGTAAATAAACTTCAGGTCGTTTGTGGACTTCAAGTCCATTAAAAATTCAGGTCCTATAATATCCTCATTAGTTTCTTTGGATCTTTATAAATCTTTGTCAAATTCTAAATATTTGACACTCATTGGTGTTATAATTTTACATCTCTATAAAGAGATTCAAATAGATTGGTTGGGTTAAATATACTCCTTATAGGAGATGCTCGATCTACAAATCGAGATAATACTCTTTGGTATTTAACCAAGAGTTTCATTCTAACTCCGTCTATAAGCATGAGCTAATCTTTTATATAGTGTTCACCACATAATCTATTTGACCGAGATGATCATTTTGTATATTATCATTATACACTAGTTCTACCTTGATTTCATACTTTACTTCTCCAGGAAGAAATTTGTTGGTTGTACCATGTTTAACAACAATTTTATATAATTAAATGATTTATTATTTAATTATCTTTCATTTCGGATACTCTAGTCCATCCAGGACTTTCACATATGACTCAATAGTCATGGTAACGTTGCTGTCATAAATATTAACTTCCGGAATAATTGTTAATGAGAGAATTTTTTTATAACAATTTGGGTCTCTGCATAAACCCATGAGCATAATCTCTCTATATTTACATCACACCACCATATCACATGTTTCATATAAATATTCATTATCCTTCTGGGATATGCTATCCTTCTGGGATATATCGTGTAGCGAGTGTAAGTTCTGCCTTTATTTTCCTTTCCATCTCAATCAACCTAAACGCTTCTAGCACTTTCATTCTTTTGATCCGGATCATTATTTGAGATAGTAAAGAAATCATATAGGCAATTATGTTGTCGACAATTATGATATTTAATTTTTATTCTCTCAACCATATGTACAAATTCATATTTCCTAGCCATTTTTATAATCATTTCCCTTAACATTTAATTTTGATTGTTCCGCATTTCCAGTACTATAATGGTTTGATGCACGTGCAAGATGTACTGTATTAAATCTTTAGGAGTTTCTTATAAAGGAGTGTTAATTCTTGAGTATAAATTTTCCACGGACTTTTATACATCATATTATATTATCTTATGTTTCTAGCATTAATGAGTTAATCATTCTCTAGATAATTTGCTTACTTTGTGGTACATTTATATATATATATATACAAATTTCTCACTCCATTATTTCTATAAATTTCGTTTGGCAGAAATATAATATGAACTTCAAGTTCAATTTTTATTGCGTGGTTTCAAATAATGAAAACATTAATATTTCACATATTTCACGACATTAATAAACTTATGCTCATATCTCCCCCTAATGCCTTGAAATCAACTTTATATATTATGCAAAACACGTACCAAATAATAAATTGATCCCCTATAATGACTTCTAGATATTAAAAACAATTCGACGGAGTATATTATATCATATCTAGTTTGTAATATAGGCCCATAAAGGTTCGAATTGGTGGTGATATAAGATTGTGCATAATAATAATAAATCGCAGAATGGAAATGTTCTATTTTCCATGCACCATTTGGGGACAAATAATTACCCAATATGATCCAATGCTCATGCTAATTATCAAATATATAAGTTGGGCATCAAATTATAATAATTTATTTCTAAGCGAACACCATATGCTTCAGGCACTATAATCGAACGTTAGTTGTGAGCCTTTTATTATCAACAATATTATGTGTTTCGGGCACTACGTATAAATTTATTATTGTATCTATAGACAATATATTCAATGATATGCATCGTATATAAACAAATATAAATAATTTGAGAAAACTTGTATATTGATTCAATCTTTGTAACAATTTGGTTAATATTTTGAATATGCAGAGTTGATTTAAAGATCATAAATTTATCTAAAAATCAACAAGATTATTTACTAGATCAATCTTTCAAAGATACTTTCTGGATAATTCTTATGCAATTATGATACTGGTCAACAGGACCATCTTCCAGGGATAACCAAATCTAGGTTTGTATTCAAATTTACTAGTGATACTTTTAATTATTTAATCCTTCAGGGAAACTCAAATCTATAGACATAAAATTCAACAGGATATTTTCTCTGCAATTCATGACAGAATTAAAAAATAACTATAAAAGTTGCATACCATTAATTTGATTCAGTAGTCAATTAGACTAAAGTTCAAGATATTCAAATCGATTTAGGCTCAATAAATTCATATCAAGTCCATATAAAAAAAAATAAAAAAAAAAACAAAATATGCAACTATAAATTCATTTTATAATTGCATATTTTTATGGGAAAAGTCCAAAAGTGGTCCTCCATGTTTAGGGGGTATCCAGACTGAGTCCCTATTATGTTTTAGTGCCCAATTTTAGTCCTTAAAACAAACAAATGTAGTCCCTATAATAAGGAAAGTCCACTTTTGGTCCTCCATGTTTAAGGGGTATCCAGACTGAGTCCCTATTATGTTTTGGTGCCCAATTTTAGTCCTTAAAACAAAAAAATGTAGTCCCTATAATAGGAAAAAGTCCACTTTTGGTTCTCTATATTTAGGGGTATCCAGACTGAGTCCCTATTATTTTTGGTGCCCAATTTTAGTCCTTAAAACAAAAAAATGTAGTCTCTTTACCTTAATTTCTGTGAATTAGCGGTCCATTTTTGCTCGACTGTGATGTTCTTTATTGTTTTAAAATTTGTTGACTAATGTCAACTTTGACCAAAGAAAAATAAAAGAAAATTTAAATGCTGAAAAATATATTAATCAAAAATTAAACTAAAACAAGAAATCGCACTAAATTAAATTAAAATTTTTGCTCGTCTGATTTCTATTTCCCTAGCATTCGCGCTGCGGAGCAAGCCTGGAATCACAGCTACTGCTCTTGCACCCATTTCCGGGTCATGCCATCGAAAAAATTGCACCTATCAACCCTTTGTTTTTTTAACCATTTCTTTTCATCAGTCCAATAAATAAGAAGAAAGGGGTATTCCAATTGAAGTTCACGGAAAGTACTTACAGGACTGAGATTATCATCCTTCCAGCATGTAGTCAACTTTGCAACCAGCCCACATCTACAAAATACCATACCATTTCCATCTACTTGATCGGATTTAGTCCCTAGGCGATTAGATTTTTTTTTTTCTACCTTTCATTGTAGTTCACCATTTCTGCTTTTTCTTTTACTTTTCAGCATTTAAATTTTCTTTTATTTTTCTTTGGTCAAAGTTGACATTAGTCAACAAATTTTAAAAAAATAAAAAACATAACGGTCGAGCAAAAATGGACCGTTAATTCACAGAAATTGATGTAAAGAGACTATATTTTTTTGTTTTAAGGATTAAAATTGGGCACCAAAACATAATAGGGACTCAGTCTGGATACCCCCTAAATATGGAGGACCAAAAGTGGACTTTTCCCTATTATAGGGACTACATCTTTTTGTTTTAAGGACCAAAATTGGGCACTAAAACATAATAGGGACTCAGTCTGGATACCCCCTAAACATGGAGGACCACTTTTGGACTTTTTCCTATTTTTATATATTCACCATATATGTTCCAAACAACATATACACGTCACATTTTAATACTTATCCATATACGCTTCATTCGATTTCAGATGCATGAACAAAATAATAATATATATGTGGACATTTTTATTTTATAACTCTTTTAGGAGTATAACGATTGAAATATAAGAGATTTCATAAATTATATAATAATTTTCATCTAACATTGAAAATAATTTTTATCTAGAGGATAATGTCTACTGGACATATCATATATGTTACCATTTTCAAATCTTAACAATTTATGTTAAGAATAATAGGATTCATATCAAACAAGATATACTCATAAGGACAATTAAAGAATAATAGGTTTTCATTTGATTAGTTGGTATTTGCTGTCTGTATTGTACTGTACTCTATTTGGTTTCATATATATCATCTCTATCGTTCTGGCCAAAAAAAAAAAATATAAGGACAATTAAATCAAGAAAATATAGTCTTATATAAGATAATTTTCTATCATATATCTTATGTGATAAACTATACTTTTGTACATGTGCTTCTGGCACTATATATTTCATATCACATGGATCAATCCAAAAAAATTTGCATTCTCATTCTTGAGCTAGTTAATAATCAATCAAAATAAATTATATCTATAATAGTTTCAAGATAAAAACTCTTATAAATTAATATCTTGCAAATGGGAAAAAACTAACCTGATCACTATGTATTTTCTTTCACATAAACTGTATTTATTAAGATATCAATACCTTAAACTCGATCTTCACAAAATACAACATTAATGCTTATATTTAAAAAAATTACAAATACAATCATTCATTATTCAAAGCGATCAGAACGGCTAATAAGAAACACATTAGAAAAAAACCTAATAAATAAAATATAAACTCAGCAGTATGATATAACATCGTAAAAATTTCTAAAGTGTATAATAACCAATATAATGGTAATTATAAATAATAGATCAAACATTTTTTTTTCTTTTGAGGAGAATATATTGTAATATTTTTGGAATGAGTATTAGTACATGAAGTGAAGTATTATATATATAGATTGATAAATAGCCGTTGCAAAAGAGCCGTTAATTAGCCGTTGGATTTATTTATTTATTTTTTTGTTATAAAAATACATTATTGATATAATATTTTTTAGTTATACCATTCATGATTATAAAATTATAATTAATCATGCATATTATTTTAGAATTTCTCCGATTCACTAGGTGAACATTTTTAGTAAACAAGTAACAAAACAAATAAAAATCACTCCACACTACTCGATAATTCTTTCGGTGGGTACAAAAATAAGTAGTTGTAAATTTCACTCCACTTACTCGATAATTCTTTCGGTGGATACAATAATAAGTAGTTATAAATTTCACTACACAATACTAGGTAAACCGTTCTGTGGGTGTTAATTACAAGTAATAATATTATATATTTTTATTATAACTTGAAATTATTTTCTTAATATGTAGTAATTCATAAGTAAATTTAATAATATCATCTTACTTTTCTGACCGGATAGAGCGCTCGTGCTGATAACCTGTTATAATACAAGAGAGAAATAGAGAGAATATAGAGAATGCTTTCTCGTCGTTGTATTTTCATTATAACTGAAGCTTCTATTTATAAGAAAACTTCTGATGGCACAATCGCAATAATACAATTACATCAAGGACAAAATAGTCATTCATATATATTAATTTATATTATAATTAATTAATTGGTGGTGGTGGTTGAAAAACAAACCAACCATATTATAACAAATATTACATTAATTTTCTTCCTCCTCCATTATTTAGTCAAACAAAGTTTACAATTTCTCCTCATATCCCTTTCAAAAAAATTCCTCCAAACAAGGTGAATTTATTTTACATCCCTTTCTCGTCCTTCTCTCCCCCTCCATTAAAATCTCCTCTCCCCTCCATTAAACCAGACATAGTTTCCAACTTATAACAAAATAACTTCTCTTTATATTTGGCAAGAGCAAGACATTGAGCGGGCATTTGTATTTTGGGAGAGATTTTATTTAGTCTTTTTTCCTAGTTAATAATAGGGGGTGAGCATAGGTCGGTACGGTTTAGAGATTAAGAAATCTCTGGAACCATACCGAAATTCGGAGAACACGAAAATTTAAACTTTGGAACCGTAACAAAAAACCGGTTTAATTCGGTTTTGAAATTTTTATTTTTCAGTACGGTTCAGTTCGATATTCAGGAATATCAGGATGGTTCAGATCAGGTTGGTTCGGTGCTTTGGAGATTTTTAACTATTTTCAAATTTTTTTCGAATGACTCTAGTTATATTTAGATTTTGATGTGTTTTTAAAAAACAACCTACATTTATCAACACTTAGTCATAAGTATTTTATTTGAAAAAAATATAGAAATAACTCAAAATTTCAAATAAGACTAAATTTGTGCAATTAATGATGGAAAGTTGATATCCAAATAAAATAGAATATAATTATTTTTTGAAGTACTTTTTTAAGGTTTTATACAATTAGTTATAAGATGGAATAAAATTAAGAAAAGCATCAACAAATATAAAATAAATACATTTTTCAATTAATTGTAGATCAAATATTATTAAGTATTAAAGATAAGTCAAATTTAATTATTGTTAATACATGTTAATTGAGTATTTTAAAAACACTCAAATTATATGTGGTTAAAGTTGATATAAAACCTATGAACAAGACACATCTACTATTATAATTCGATTCGCCACAGCATAAGATGGTTCAGTTCGTTCCTGGTACGGATATTTGTGAGAACCGTATCAATTATTTTTTTTTGGTTCAGTTCGGTTTAGAGAAAGTCAAACAGTTACATTCGAAATGAATTCGGTTGGTTTTAAAACGGTTCAAAATTCTCCGAGTCTCATACTAAATCCTTTAGGTATTTCTTACCTAATCATTTTCTTAGGGTATTATATTATTGCATAATAAGATAACCACCTCACCCCTGAAATCTCATGTCTGAAAACCAAAGAATGTCTGATCATGAATAACGATACTAGTGCAGAATACATAATCTAGAATTATATTTTACAAATCTTTGATCACGAGTACAAATGTTACATTATTGATACACAAGAATTACAAAAGAATTTGATTATCCCACTAGTAAAAAATTACGTCACCAAGTGTTTTCAGTATTTTTGGTGAATGATCAAATAATACTACCAAACATGTATCTCTGTATTGTCACAAACCTAAACAAAACAAACCTGTGTCCCTTGGAAAGATACTTGGTATTTGGGGTTCATGGGATCCGGCTCATATTAGCTTGGCTAGCCTATTCATCATTTGCACACAAGCGCTCTGCGTGTAATGAAATACAGTGAGCTCATTAGTTTGCAATCAAGTATCAGTCGACAAAATACCTTGGCTATCTTAAAAATTGACATGAAGATGAATCAACATAAGCAATACAACTGAAAATAACCAACAAAACAGGAGGGTGTGTTTGGATATAAATAAACTCAATCCACACTCAATTCATACTAAAATTTTGACTCAACTTTAACTTAACTCTACTATTCTAAATATTATCAATATAATTAAATAATATCAACCAATCATTCTTACACATCACATCAACATTAATTCACTATTCATCCACTCACATACTTTTTAACTAACAACACTTCACATCATCTCTCATACTTTTATATCAAATCAACCATAATTATTTTATTTTAAATATTATTTTAATATAAAATTAAAATTCAACTAACAACTAACCATACCATCTTTTTTAAAATTAACCCTCGTTAACCAAAAACTCGTTTTGAGCGGATATATGCTCGAGCCTTAATGATGTAGGATTTTTCCAGGTAAAAAGTTGCACAGTAAAAATTCTAGTACAAGTACAGGGCAATTGCAAAACCTTATTCTTAGGTTCACCCTATTTACAAAACCTACAAATTTTAATGCAACTTAAAGACATACATCAAACAGCATATGCCCATGATTTAAATGAGAGTTATGTTTTTTTCCCTTAAATTTAAAATAATTTCTTTCAATAACCACAGTGGAGAAAGATGGATCAATAGAATGTCTAATTTGCATTAAAGCTAGTAATTCTCAACTCAAATAACTCAAAACAAGCAGATACATAAATGAAGTTATCGACCAGAATGGAAAGTGGTCCCTTGAGCAACAAATCTTTACATGAGTCGTGTGTGCCTTACACATTAACTGGCGAGAGCTGGATAGGAAACGAGAAAGAAGTAATCTTACTTAGATATTCATACGCCAGAATCATTGAGGTTCCCCAAGCTGACATACTGAAAAATCTAGGGCCAAGACCTCGATAAAATCCAGTCCACCCATCTTCAGCAATCAAATCCTTAACTACTTGCCTTGCACTTGGTCTTGTTTCATGACCCATTACCTGGATCATATTAGAAAATATAATGTACATCGAACCAAATGATATAAGTACAATGTTTCAGAGTCCTATGCAATAACTCAATAGTAGATGTTAAACCAAAAGGGAAATTAATACAAATGAGAGAGACAGGTTTACTTGCAAACGTGTTTTAATTGTGTCCAGTGGAGTTGTTATACATGATGCAGTGGCACCAGCAATAATGCCTCCGGCAGCTTGGACCAAAACAATGTTGCGCTTGTTTGGAGCTGCAATGCCATCATCCAAGTGTCTGTTGGATCAATGGAAAAGGAGGAAAGGGGTGCACTTAGAAATGAAAACCGCAGCATTTAAGTCCATACTATAAACTTCGCAGAAGGATTAAAGAAAGCTAGAAAAACAAGCAGCTAGCTTACATCACATGATATTCTGTGTTCAATCAGAAAAATATTAATTAATCAGTAATGGCTCTTAACAATTTATATTTGATAAAAATGCCAAAAATATTTTGCCAGAAATTCCTTGTGTAACCCTTTGCCTTTGTATTTGATTTTCTTTTTTCACTTTCCCCAACATGCCTACTATTTGGTGTGGAGGTGAAAATATTAACGATTATGATTACCCCCTCCCGGTCCCAACAAAAAGAAAAAAAGGAAAAATATTATGCTGGCTATAACCAATGCTAAATGCCTAACTGAATTTTATTAATCTTATATAGTGATTTATCATTAGCGTAAAATTTGACTAAATAACAGTAATAGGCTGCCTCTACGTATCTGCTTCCTGTATATAAGGGGTATGATGTTTTAATGCAACACCTCCAGATGAAGCGTTGGCTCGCACCATAGCTTGCCCACCAGACGGCACTCGATGGAGAATAAGTGATCACAGACAGACCAAATCCTCGATATAATCCACGAATTCCATCAGACTTTATGACCTTACGCACGACATCCAGACCCCCATTGTAGGCCGCATGGCCTGAATACCCTTGCACCATTAATCTCTGACTAACCTTTTTTGGGAAAGATAATATCAGTTATGCATTGTATTAATGTCTAAAATAAAATTTCATAAAGTATCAACTATCAAGAAAGAGAAATCCAAACGAAAACTCTAACAAGGTGATGACAACAAAAATCACATTCCATCTTAGAGCATAAACATTAAGAGAGGTTCTTATAGGTGAAAGCACATATATGATTTGCATTTCAATTGCATCATATGCTCTAAAAAAACTATTAACAGGAAAGCCATTTCCGTATATCCTATTCTTCCTAGATTTAAATGAGCATTAAAAAACCTTGAAAACGAATTACCGAACAAAATATATACCACGTCAACTGGAACAAACACAGATTGGGTACAGAGAGAAGCCATCATGCCGGCAAACCCGTTGGCTATAGCCGCCTTCGTGGGTTCAGACAATTTGAAAGGCTCGACCATTTTGAAAGCAGCCACTTTTGTTGTCTCTAATGTGGTGAGAAATATGACTCGAGTGGGTATAGCTCCCGTGACCACAGTCCCAAAACCTCTATAGAAACCGGCAATCCCATCTGTTTTGAGCAGGCCTCTGATAACAGAAATCGCATTTCTTTCCACGGAGCCGTGTGACGCAACTTGCATTCGGGTCTTCACGACTGAGATCGGGTAAAGTGCCACTGTAACTCCCGAAAAAATTCCAGCCCCAACAACGTAGAATTTAGTTTTATTGAGCCTGCAGGAGTGAAAATAACAGGAAGAATGAGCTAAAAAAACAAAGAGTAATTACTTAAGAAATGAAATCCCAGAGATTTCCAAAGCACATAATGACTGAAAATTTCCCAATGGTGCTCCTTCCAGACCTTGTGCGGTCAATTAAGCAATTACAGAAGTTTGAAGGCTTATCTAGAAAAAGTCATAAGCTAAGGCTATTTAGAAACAACTCTAAGAACCAAAACTGGATTGAATAATTTAGAGAATAATAAGTCAAGTGAAGAAGGACAAAAATGGAACGAAACATAGAAATTATGGAAATGCACCTGAAGCACCAACAATATCTGTTCCATAATTGATTTAACTTCAATTGCAGCAAACATAAATTCAAGAACTGATTTGTTTCCAAGAATACAAAAATATAGTATTGCCTTTGCAGTTGCTACATAACTTTAACATGAATTTCAATTCAGAAATGACATCATCATCAAAAAAGCAATCTGAAAAGGAAAAGCTTCCCTGATCTTTCGATTAATAGGCAAATAATCGTAAGTCAATGAAGCTAGCTTACTTGTCCCAATTAATCTCCGTTTGCCTATGAGTTGCCGCTGTATCCATTGAAGCCTTGACCCGTAAAGAACAAAAGGGAAAGAGGAAACAGAATCGAACAAACGAGCTACTTATTTCATAGAGAAGAAGGTCATCATCGTGTTCCGTGGAAAAGAAAAGGAAAATCCATAGAACTGAAAATCCTCCGAGAAAATGGTGATTTGAGAGGAAATGTGAAATTGAAACAAAAAAATGACAAACAAGTACGACTCTGTTTTATGGAAATCGGTCGGTTCGGTCTGCTGGTAAAGCCGTTTAGTGGACAGTTGGTCTTCGTTGGCAGCCGGGATCCTAGGTGTCAATATCTTATTGATGAATATCTATATAATCAATAATCTTTTATAATTTGCACCAAAAAAAAAAATAATCTTCTATAATAATAATAATATAAAAAAATTGTTGGAAAATTACATTACTAATAAATTTAACTAAAATAATAAAAAATTGACTTAGTATTAGTAGTAATTTCGAAAAAAATACGTGTGAATCTTTAAGAATCAAATATAATCATAATTTTGGACAATTTGGCCCAATTTTTTTTCTAAAAATTTAATAACAAAATTTGAATCAAATTTTTTTGGTAACAAATTTAGAGATTCTTATGCCAAAACTTAAATCCCATTTTTTATTTTTGTACCAAAATTTGAATTTCATTTTTTGTAACAAATTTGGAGATTATGCCAAAACTTGAATCCCATTTTTCGTATTATTTTTTAATTTTTTTTTTTACCAAAATTTGAATCCTATTTTTTTTTAAAAAAAAATTGAAGATTTTTATGCGAAAAATTTGCCAATTATTTATTAAAAATAAATCTAAATACAAATTAATTTATAAACCGTGCAAATTAAATACAAATTTGGGAAACAAATAGTTGTATAATTCTTAACAAATTCTTTCAATATTTTTGAATAGTTTTTTCATTCAAAAATGTGCGCAATGTGGATAAAACCATGTGCAATTAATATTTTAAAACAAAATTGAGATTTGGACGGGATATATATTCAAAATTGTATCCACATTTTTTTGTAACAAAATCGGTTCATCTTTGTATTTAAAGTCAAACCGTATCCAATTATTTATGAAAAAAGGTCAAATCAATTTCAAAATCGTGTGCAACTTTTCAAAATTTGAAGGCACCGATTTTTTTGGATTCTTATGTTTTTTTAACCATGTTTTACCGAGATTTTGATAAGTTCATATCAATTTTTGTTTTATGTCAAGTTCATATCATTTTTTTATGAATAAAAAAAGCTGCTTAAAACTTAACAAATTATTCTATTTTTTTGAGAATTAATTTCAATTCAATTTGAAAAAAAAAATGCAATGTTAGGAAAATTTGGTTGCATTTTTTAGAAAAATTGATGATTCTTTTCACTTTGTTTTTAACCAAATATTCGAATCAATTTGCTTAGTAAAAAGAATGGTGAATTTGTATGAAAATTCGGTTTCATTTTTAGAAAAAAATAATGATTGTTTTCAATTTTTCTTAATCAATTTTTTGAAATAGAATTTTAAAAAATAAATAAAATAGCGTTAAAATCCCCAAAAATCTCTACTTTTTTTTACTAATTTGTTTAATAAATAAGATCCCTTAATTTTTTTGAAAAACGCAATTTGTTAACTAATAGCTAATAATACACAATTTTAAATAAATTGGACTATATATTTGTTAAATAAATTAGATCATTTTGTTTTTTTTAATGGTGTGAATATCTCTTAATAATATAGATTGAGTTTGTTTATTCACTCCAACTAATTCTTTTGTAGACGTATCAATTCACAAATTTGACTTAATATTTGATTTAAACAATTCATGTCTACCTTATGTTGATACTCAAAATTTAACATCCTGGATTAAGCCCCCTAAACCAAGAAGCACTTCGGCCAAAACAAAGTACACCAAACTCAAGACATCTCCATTCTATATGTCGATCCATTCTAAGATACAAAATAATCACGCCGGCATCTGCTAGAAGCAAGGTCTCCTCCTTGCCGATGTCAGCCCAGTACTAATGTTAAAGGGGATGCTGCCCAAAATCGATTTCCACCGCCCAAAAGGATAAATCATTTGCTTGGACACGTGTCTCCATGCATGTCGCTAGCCTAACAAAAGTTGCCACGTGTTCTAAACATATTATATTTTCAAGATTTCCCCTTCTATAAATAGAGGGGTCCGAAAGCTTCAAAGGTCATCGAGTTCTCAGACAAAAAATTCTACTCCAACTCCTGATATAGCGATTCCTCCCTAGTTCTCAAGATATACCAATTTTTTTATGTTTTCTTGGTCTTCATAGCCTTCAATAGGCTCTTGTATAAAAGAGGCTCGAGAGCGGCCCAAATCCTTAAATAGCAGATGCGCGGTGGGGGCACACTTGGGTGTGAGCAAAACCACACTGAAACCGAAAAATCAAACTTTGCGATGCGATTCAATTTTTTAAAGTTTCAGTTTGCGATGCGGTTTGAATTTTAGAAAATCGCAAATAATTCGGTGGGTGCAATTTTGAGTATGAACGGTGCAGTTTTAACAGAACCACATCGAAACTTTGATGTGTCATATAAAATTGCTAGTACATTACCTTAAACTCTTAAAGTCTTACACGATTTTATATTTATAATTAATTAATTTTAAAGTTTAAACATAATTAATTAATTTATAATTAATTTTGGCTTAAGATTTAATTTGCATGGTTTGCCCTTTGATTTGTGTTTTTATAATTTTTTAATTGCGGTTAATCGAAAAACCGAACTACACGAAATCGAAAATTTTGATTTCGTTTGATTCGGTGTATAAATTTTAGATTTTTGGTTTTTGATTTTTTGCGGTAGGGTTCGGTTTTGAACGATTCGCACCGATGTTCACCCCTAGTACACCAATATGTTGATAATATAAAGCTATTTTTCTTTTGTCTTCTTCATTATTTTCCCACTAAATAACAGTCCGCTATTTTTCATCAGTTTCTTTTTCTCTCTCTAGTCCCAAAAATCCCCAATTCTCCCAAAACCCTCGCCGACTCTCTTATGACTCACCTCCCCTCGGTCGGCTCCGTCTTTCCATGATTTCGGACAGCACCTGACCGGACGACGATCCTCTTGCCCTAAAGTGGTCCATTGATTCCTCCCAGCCTAGTATCTTCCTCTTCCTGAGTGGCCCTGGCGGTTCTTGGAGTGGTCTTCGGGCGGGTGGTTGGCGGCAGTGTTGGCTCCAACTGCTGCTTGGGAGTGAGCGGAGCAGAGATCGGCGACTTTTCCTCCCTCTTCTCTTGGTCTCTTTTCTGGTGTTGGTGGGGACAAAGAGGTCCGATGGTGTTGGGGCGTGTCCTCGTTCGTGCCTTGCCGTGACCGCCGTTAGCGATGTAGGGAGGGGGCAGCGTTGGTATTCATACAAGGAGAGAACTTGGTCCGCTGTGGGCCCTGTCTAGTTAGCCGTATCTTTACTGGAGTTTATAGATCTGGTCCGGGCTTTGTGTCTTCTTGTGTAGTCGCCTTCGGGTGTTTGGTTGACGGGTGGAGGCTCGGAGTTCTTTTCTGACTGATGATGAGGGCTTTAGTCTAGTTGTTAGGCGTGAGTTGTTTTGGGTTTGTGTTAGTATGTTTGTTTTTTTGTTGTTGTGTTGGTTCCTTTTTATCCTTGTTCGGTGTAGTTATTCTCCACTTGTGGGAGTAGGATTCTAGTGTTTGCTGACTTTTAGCTTTGTGGGTGTGTTTTGTGGATGTGTGTAATGTAGTAAATGCTAGGCTACGGTCGTGTTCGACAAGTACGTCTTTTTCTAATTCAAAAATTCTAGTTGTACAGCTGTTTTCAGGTTGTAATTATGTGTTTAGTTATTTATAAAATTCATGTTGGAATATCACTTGTGAGTTGTCCTGCATTGATTCTACAGGGTAAATGAGCCTAGTTATAAGTCTAGTGGGCTACTACTCCCATTACCAATTTATTTTGGGATGGAACCTCACTAAGGTGCAACTAGGCTCACTCTCTTATGGTGCTCTTCATCTGGTGGGACCGTACCCTCTTCTCCTGATTTTATAAATCTAATATGGTATCAGAGCGGGCTTGTCGACCTGCAATGACTCTCTTACCGGGCCTACTCTGGGCTTGGACTTACTCTCTATCCGGCCCACTCTGTGGGCTTGGGCTTACAAAAGACTCACAAGTGAGGGGGCGTGTTGGAATATCACTTGTGATTTGTCCACATTGATTCTAGAGGGTAAATGAGCCTAGTGGGCTACTCCTTCCTCACCAATTAGTTTAGGGATAGAAGCTCACTAAGGTGCAACTAAACTCACCCTCTTATGGTGTGCTTCATCTGGTAAAACTGCACCCTCTTCCCCGATTCTAGAAATCTAATAATTTTTTATCGTTTGAAAAGTACATCTAAATAACACATCATTTTTTTGGTGGTCTTTTGACAAAAACGAACGTAAAAGCCAATGGGAAATCCCCTTTAATTCTATTATGTGTAGTTAATATCTAAGCTAGGCGATACAAATGCCATTTAAATTGTCTCATCATTTAGTTGAAGATCCTAGAAATGACCTTAATTCTGTCAAGTAAAACGTCAAATATGTCACCGACAATTGTCCTTTTCCTGTGATATACATATACTACCGTGTCCAGCTCTCAGCTTATCATTTTCATGAGTTTGTTAATAGGATAATTATATTTAGCTAGACTTAATTAGGGAACGAAATTTAAATTTATTTTGGTAATTGATTTTATTCATTGTACTAGATTCCCACCTTATCAACATGTAGAAATGTAAATTAAGTATTATAAATTATATGTATAATATTCAAATTATAGTAACCGATCTTATGCATATGTAGAAATATAAATAAAGTATTATAAGTTATATATAATTTTCAAATTACAAATTCGATAATGGACATATCATATTTTTTAAATTTAATCATTAGTAATCAACAATATAATATAAACTATTTAACTACACATAAGGCACTACTATTGATTAATAAAATGTAATAGAATAATGTAATTTTGAGGCATCATAATCAAATAATTAACTAAAAAATAAATTATTATTTTTGTTGTTTGTTGTTTATGCGATTTGAAAGGGTTTGTGAGTATACAATTAAAATCAATAAGCTATTTCTTAAAATGAATCGTTTAAAGATATGCCATAATAAATTGATTTTGGAATAATAGCTTTAAGAAAAAGTTTTAAAATATAATTGTTTATATTTATATAACTTTCATATACCATTTACTATGAATTATCATTAATTGATTTTTCTAATGCTATATATAATTGAATAATTAATAAAATATAATTATACATAATTTATATAAAATGTTACGATTTTATCATAATTAACTTAAAAATGAGTAGATTTAATTTTTCTTTTGCATTAATTGGATGGTCGATAATTCAATTGGATATGAGAAACGTATGTATCCATCTTCTTTTTCTCTTCAGTAATTTATAAACCCTATTTTTAAAATAAAAATAATTAATATTATACATTTATTTATAGCTATTATTTATTCCGTGACATATTTTTAGTTAATAATTTGTTAATTGTTATTCCATTATATTCAATTATTATATTTATATTACATCAGACATTATAAAAGTAGTTAATTATTTCATCAAGTCTCATTTTCTGTAGAAAAAAAAAATAAAAAATCAAATGAAAGTATATCCAACGCATTTCATCCTAACAAACAGCTAATGCAGGAACAATTGAATAATAATTAATAAAAAAGAAATTAGTGAGTGGTTAGAAGCCTTGACTAAAGCGTCTCTAGTTGTTCTTCAACAAGCTTTTGCCACCATTTGTTCTCTCTCCTTTTCTTGCAGATCTTGAGAGCAACAAAAAACTCAGAAGCAATGGAGCTCCGCTTCAGATCTCCATTGACATTCTCATCAGTTCCCACCATTGTTCTGCTCTTCTTTCTTTCTTGCTACAGCTTCACTTCAACTGGTAACAGCATCTCTTTCTCTTTCCATTGTTTTTAGCATATTGTTAATGACTTTGGTTGAGCAGACTATGATTGTCTTAAGTTGAGATTTGTTATTCTGACAGTTTGAAAAACTGGAAAGTGTCTAATTCGATTGACAACAAGTTCGGATCTTTGAATGAACAGATGAATCTTTTTATTTTTATTATTCTTCTGCGTAAATTGCTGAACCCTTTCTTCAAATAATGTTATATAGAACATTAAATTAATCCATTTTAGGACGAATTGGTAAAATCATATCTGATTCAGTTCAACTGAGTTTGTGCCAGATGCGATTTGTGTGTTTCTCAGTAAATTCGATGAGATTTATATCGGTTTACCCCAAACTTGTTGTGAAACTTTTGGTTTATGATGTCCAAACATGATATGAAGCTAGATTTTACCTTGTTTTAATCATCAGAAGCATATGATGCTCTGGATCCAAATGGAAACATCACAATTAAATGGGATGTCATCAATTGGACGCCTGATGGCTACGTGGTTAGTTTTCTTTCCTTCATACATACTCAAAACTGTCATCCATTTCCCCCTTTTCAGTAAATACATCCTAAAAACAAAAAAAAAAATTATTACACAGGCTGTTGTAACAATATTCAACTTCCAACAATACCGTCACATCCAAGCTCCAGGGTGGAGTCTCGGGTGGACTTGGGCTAAAAAAGAGGTGATTTGGAGCATGATGGGCGGCCAAACAACCGAGCAAGGAGATTGTTCGAGGTACAAAGGGAATATCCCACATTGCTGCAAAAAAGACCCCACAGTTGTTGACCTATTGCCCGGGACACCATATAATCAACAGATTGCGAATTGCTGTAAAGGGGGTGTTATAAACTCTTGGGCTCAAGACCCAGCAAATGCGGCTAGCTCATTCCAGGTCAGCGTTGGGGCTGCGGGGACCACAAACAAGACTGTTAGGGTCCCGAAGAATTTTACGCTCAAGGCACCTGGGCCAGGCTACACGTGTGGGCCTGCGAAGATTGTGAAGCCCACCAAGTTTGTTACGCAGGATGGGAGAAGGGTGACCCAGGCAATGAGTAAGTTGTTTTTGCTTAATGTAAATGTGATTGTCCTCAAAGAAAGCTTTAGTCACTAACACATGAATCCTCATAGATCCTTGTGAATTCGAGCGGTTTTGCGTAAAACTACATGTTGTTCTGTATGTCCGAAGAGTTTGGTTTAGTTTATTTTAAATTATTTCGTATATACACGCAAATATATGACTATGTTTGATAACCAAATAAGCTAGCTTATAAGCTCTCTGTATTCAAATAAACTTTGTTTGGTAGGACGAGCTTTTTTAAAAAACTCGAGCTTATCTGATAAGTTTATTTGGGTAGCTTTTCAAATAAGCTCATTGAAATTTTTATTTCAACTAGCTTATCAGCTAATTTTACTAAACACTTTTATAAGCTATAACTTCGAAAATAACTTATAAGCTATAAGCTAGCTTATCAGCTAGTTTTACCAAACATAGCCATATACTACCAAACATAGCCATATACATACACACACATTTCTTTTTTTGTTTTCCTTTAATTTATTTTTTAATTGTTTCTCGGGTCTCTTACTGCAGTGACATGGAATGTTACGTGCACATATTCACAGTTCCTAGCTCAAAAAACTCCCACGTGTTGTGTATCATTGTCATCCTTTTACAACGACACTATTGTCCCTTGCCCGACTTGTACGTGTGGATGCCAAAATAACCTTACTCAGCCTGGGAGCTGTGTGAAGTAAGATTTACACTGTTATTCTCTCTTAAATTCTTTATGAACTTGTAGGTAGATTTCATAGTATTTAATTTATGTTCTTTATTTTCTTAATTGTTGCAGTCCTGATTCTCCATACCTTGCTTCGGTTGTTTCCGATCGAGGGAAGAGCAATAATCTGGCGCCACTCGTCCAGTGCACCAGCCACATGTGTCCCATTCGAGTACACTGGCACGTGAAGGTGAACTACAAGGAGTACTGGCGTGTTAAGGTCTCAATCACAAATTTCAATTACAGGATGAATTATACTCAGTGGAATTTGGTAGTCCAACATCCAAACTTTGATAATTTGACCGAGATTTTCAGCTTCAACTACAAGCCGCTAAATCCGTACCAAAATATAAGTAAGTGTTGCTATAAAGAGTTTACAAGAGTATTTATTTTCTTATTTTGGTGATAATGCCTTTGGTTGGTGCATGATTTACTCTTTTTAGGGATTATTTCAAAAACTACCCGAAATGAGTAACATAATCCCAAAATATACGAGTGCGAATAACAAAATTTGTGGAAAATGTTTGATTTGCTATATTCGTTTTATGAAAATGGGCAGACTGAGTGTTATAACTTTTGTTAAAATCTTCTGCGGTCAATCAGTTTTATGCACAAAACTTTCTCTCTAATGAAAAATATAACAAAATGCTATTTTTTTTTCTTTTCAATTTCAAATAGATGATACTGCAATGCTATGGGGGGTCAAATTCTACAATGACTTGCTCATGCAAGCGGGGCCCTTGGGAAACGTGCAGTCGGAGCTTCTTTTCCGAAAGGACAAAAACACCTTCACATTCGAGAAGGGTTGGGGCTTCCCCAGAAGAATTTATTTCAATGGTGATAACTGTGTGATGCCGCCTCCCGACGCATATCCATATTTGCCAAATGCTGCTACTCTGCGCCAAAATGTCTCCTTTTTATTGCTACTTATTTCTCTCCTCTCCTCTCTGGCTATCCATTTCGCATGCCTTTGAGAATTAGTGGGATTTAAGGGGCTATATACCGCTCGACTTTGTGGGAATTACTTCAAATTTTTTCTTGTTTACTTCAATTTTTGTTGTATCCAGTGGGAGTTTTTCTTAGTTTTGTAGTTGCGAATGGTGTTATTTGTACGGCTGCTCGTATAAATTATATTGTTTATACTATAGGATATTTGTTTTGAATTAGAACAGCTGGCTCGTATAAATTATCTGTTATTTTGCATTTGTGCGTTTAACCAAACATAAAAAAAAAAAAATACACCAGAAAATAAACTATGTAGTATCCAAGAAATCGCGAGATATATTTTGTTACCCCAAAAAATATAATCTCAAACAAGTCAGTTTGAAAGGGCAGATGAACACAGATGCCCAAAAGCCTTTGAAAGGGCAGCACTCGCTACAATAAAAGCTGAAAACAAAAACAGTACACAACTAAGAACCAAAATGTAATTGCTGCCTCTAACTTTTGAAGCCTTGGGTTTGAAAACAAATTGATGGTCCTGGCAAATTGGTGACGGTGGATTGTTTTCATCGTCTACAGCCACTTGTCTGTCCCTGCACTCGATCGAGCAAAATACTTGAAAACTACTGCATATCACAATCATAACAATTAGAATTAGTAACTTCTAACTTACAAAATTTCTCTCTACCTATCTTTGTATTAAATTAATTAAATCTTTAATGAATATATTACATACCCGTACATATATCTGTCCTTATCCTCACCAATTTTCTTTTTGCACCATTCGCACGTATCAAGAAAATCTTCTCCTCTCTTGTGCATGGTCTCACGTGAAGATGAAGAAGGAATCGTAAGAATATTAACCCAACTCTTTGAATTTTTCATTGCCGAATATTAACTGGAAAAATTAAAAGGAAGAATTCAGAAGGAATTGATGAGTGTTTCTACGAATGCTGACTCGTGTTATGTATAATGGTTGAGATCAAGATTTTGGGACAACTTTTATATTGCTTGATTATGTCATGTGGACGAATCTTAGGTACCATGTATAGATAAATCTAGGCCAAATTTATTGATACTACTTTATTACAAATATGGTAATTTGCGTCTAGATCATTTCCATGTTTACATTCGAATAGTTTAGGAAACACTGTACGTGCAGGAGTAGTTAATGTAATTAATGAAGTGTTTCATGAATTAGTTTTTGGATTTTATGAAACTTATTATTGCCTTTCCATAATTGAAGAGCGAACTGGCATCAATTTAATTAGCATGCATGTTATTTTTCTCTACTAGTACGTACCCGTGCATCGAAAGAGATATTAAATGAATTGTTTTCACAGGCTCTGTTCGTTTAAGTCTGAGAAGGGTTATTATCCATGTTCCACCTATTTTAATCACTGTTAAGTCTCGTTTAAGTCTGAAAAGAGTTATCATCTATTTTCCACCTCTTTTAATCACCGTTAAGTCTAAAAAAATAGGGCTGTAATCTATTTTTCACATCTTTTAATCAGCGTTGTTTTATTAGTCAGAACATTAAACGTGAGCATGTTAGGGCTAACTTGTAAAATAATTACTATATTATCTCACTAACACATTTATACTAATATAAATTTAATTTTATTATGTATATTTATTCCTTGATATGAGAGAAAATAACAATTTTACTTATTCTTATTCACTATATAATAGTTAATTATTAAACTCTGTTGTCATATATTGTCATTATTATTTATAAAGTTATACAAGTTACACGTCTTCTTGTTCTTTTTATTTTATGTAATGAAATATATTTAATGCACGTTGGTATTATTTATATAAGTAATCAATTTAAAATATGTAAATAAATTTAAAATTAATAGTGTATAAATAATGTACAAAATATACACATATATTTTTAGAATTTAATTTTGTATACTAATTAAACAACCTTGATTTAAGAAAAGCCATGAACTCAATCTCTTCTAATATCAATGTTTTTCTAATTTGCATGGTAATGATTATTCTTATTAAATATATAGATTAGAATTTCTGCGACACCAACCAAACTAAATATCACAACAACCAAGTAACAGTTATGAAAAAACCCATAACACAACAACTATCAATTAAATTTGGTAATAGAAAAATTACATACATATATATAAAAATATGAGGATTCTATATTTCTATTAATTGATGTATACACCATGTATATATTTTGTTAAGGTATATTAGAATGTTCAATTTCATAGCATGATAACGATTAGTCTTAAAAAACCGAAAATCTTATTGAAATGCCAAATTTTTCTGTTAAAAAAAAAGTTCCCATAAAAAATAATTATATCATAGAAAATTCATTGTGTAATTGAACAAATTTCTATAATGAAGCCCGATTTTCTGTACAAAAATAAAGCAACAACTTCCACATTTTAAGGAAATCAATTAATGTTGGTCCGTTTTTGCTAAGAAAATAATAAATAAATAAATTGTAATTAACGAAAAGTAATTAATGATAAGAGAATTTGACCATATCTGTTTTTAAAAGTCATACAGAAAAATAAATATTAAATAAAACTGTATAATACATAAATAGTAATGGCAATAAATATTGTTGACTTTTCTAGCTACTAAATTTGGTAAATAGGATTTCCTTTAATATAAGTATAGATTTATTGTTATTACTGGTGCATAGCTCGTGCGATGCACGGGACACATATATTAATTGAGTCATCTATATGGCTTGTATGATTTTGGCAAAAAATAATAGGGTTTTTTTTTCCCAAAACGATAGATACTTTTATAAATCAAAAAGCACAAATGTGCGAATACACAGCAGCCAACGGCTGAATACACAGCAGCCAACAGCTGAAAAAGTGGGAGGACAGGTCAGAAGCCCGCCTAGAATCCCGACTAGCAACGCTAGAATAAAAAACACACTCATAAAAAACTAACCAACAAACACAAACAAACTACAACAACTACAAGGACCCCAACAGGGTAATACCTAAGTGTCAGACCCCAACAGAGTAATAAGATTGACACTCGGGCTCACTGGGGCTAACGGCCCAAACCAAAAACACAAAACACAAACTATCACTACTGCCAAGACAACAAATCAACAAAAAACTACTAATCTACCAACAAAACCAACAAACCAAATAAAACGAGCCCTTCCAAAGCAGCAACACCTAGCCGAACCAGCGGAACCAAATCAGCCGTGAATCCCACAGCCAGAGACAACGACCCCGAAACTGCCAAAACCACTCGGTTGCCTAACGGTATCGAGACCCCAACTCCGGAACAACACCAGCCAACCCGCACCACGGCCGCAACACCAAATTGCCCGGAAAAGGCAAGAAGGTGCCACGGCCCAGCCCCAACCCCAAATTGCCTGGAGACTGCCCAAGACCACCGCAATGCCGCAGCACCATCCCGACCAACACCACTGGCAGATGAATGGAAGCGACGGCCCCTCCGACCCAAAATCCGAGTGCAAAGGGTAGAAGGCTTCAAGCATAGCTCGACCCCAATCGCCCGACCAACAAGTTCGCCAAACAATCGAGTCGCATCCCGCCCCAAGAACAGCACCACGGCTCTACCACCGCACCACAGAGAGGCCACCCACCGGAATTGCCGAGACGACGCCGGAATAGACGGAGCCCTTCCGTGACTGACGAGTCCCGACTCCATGGATGCGGAAGGCGGAGCGGAAAATTAGGGGCGGGAGCCAAGCATCCAAGGTCAGTGACCGCCGGCGAAGCATGATTGCCACTAGGGAGGGCAGACGATTTCAGATCGGAGTGACGGCGAGAGTTTTTTGGGGGGAGGGTTTTTTCTTCAGACCGTAACAAAATACTTTGCTAAAAATAATAGGGTTGGATCATTAATTTTCCATTTCTTTCAATCAGTGATATTTATTTTAGTCATAACGTTGACATGTTATTAATATATCATTCTGCTAACACGTTATATTGATATAAATTTGATTCTGCAACATATATTTATCCATCGATATAAGAAAAATAAAATAAAATTTATGTTTATTCTTGTTCACCATTTATTTAATAGTCAATTATTATTTTATTATAATATTTGTTGTCATATAATGTCAATATTATTGTTTATAAAGGTTATAGAAGTAGTCTTCTTCTTCTTAGTTTATGTAATGAGTTTAAAATAAAAAATTTTCTATAAATGTTTACAAAATACACACACATGTTTTTTAGAATTTAATTTTCTCATAATAATTAAAAAAAAATTGATTTAGCAAATTGTCAAATAATAAACCTTACATAATCAAGAGATTTTTCTAATTTGCATCTTAAGGCTTTATTAGTTTATTTAACATACTATGCAATATAAATATATATTTTACAATAAATTCATTATGGAAACAAATAAAAATAAAAATAAATGATAAAATTATCATGGTTGACAATAATATACAAATAAATCAAATGTTGAAAATGTAAAGAATAGTTAATATATTTTAATTTTATTATTTAGTCATTAATAAATTATTTAATGATGTGATCATTATCTCTTAAATGGTAAATTATTTTAATTTAAAAAAATTATTTGTCTATATAAATAAATAAATGTTAACAAATATTATCGAAAAATATTAATTCACCAACTTGATTTCGGCTAATTAGTTAGAGGGAGAATTATTTAACATGTTACCATTGTTTATAAATATTTTAGGATGAAAGTCAACATTTGTGAAAAAAAAATAATAATATGGTCAAGACTTAAAAGTTGTTTTCATGTTTATGTTGACCAAAATATTATCAACATCAATCACGAAAAATCAAATTATAGTTTATTATAATGGATATCAATTAAATTATTGCATATGTTAATAAAATTATTTCAATTGGCGTAAAACCATCTTCTTCTATGATTTCACTTCGCACTACTTATGACTTCACTTCGCTTTGCTTCGTTTGTTGGGTTGATCTTTCTAATCAATCAGAAAATGAACCGGTGGATTGATTGACTTCCAATCACAAAAGAAGCTCACTCCCAAGCAAGGGAAGAATCTTTTTGGTCATATTTGATTTAGAAATGTGTATATTAAAGCAATTAATGCATATATTTAAAAAGTTTCCAAATAAAGTATGCATTAAATACTCGTTGACTTTTTTGCTATTTTTGATAAATGTTAATTCTTTTTATATATATATAGATTTCTATTTCAATCTGTTTGAGTTGGATTGNTTATATATAGAATACATATTCATTTTAATTTTACGAACTTTTTTTTATATTTAGTTTAGTTTAGTTTATTTGTATTTATTATAGGTTTATATTATTAAATCTCATGACATTGCAAGAAATAATTTGTTAATATACCAAACATAAACTATAAATAAATATATGCTAAACACAAAATACTCGACGATATAAATAAATTAAATATCCAAAAACATGTTCAACATTCGATAAAAATAGTTGAAAACAATTTTTTTTTTTAGTTTAAAGTTCATGTTTAGAAATAAATATATATACCCAACACAAATAAAAATAGACACCAATATTAATGAACATAAAATGATGTTAACAAATCCATATTTATTCACAAAGCATACTTCATGTTTATGAATACTTTATATATGTATATAAAAATAAACCAAACCATGTTGTCAATGTAAGCCTCTCAACGAGCAACCGAGTTCCTCCTCTTCGCGTTTTTCCCTGAAACGTAGGTGGAGAGTAAATAGAGTACGCAAAGTGTATTCAAACATCGAAATTAAAAGCAAAAATAATATAAAAATAAATATTATTTTCGAGGAACATCCCACCACTCTTTAGAGCTTTCATTAATAGATTGGTTTGGGCACAACGTACTACTTGGAACTACACACGAATAGAACTCCATCATAGTCTAACCAACATCGTAC